GACCTCACAGGGCCCAAAACATTTACTTGTTTAAAAATATATATATATTCAGAAGACACAAGATCATAACAACAACTGCAGGTGTCATGGCTACCACTGATGCCTTTCCTAATTACAGATGTGTTCACATGTTAGCATGACAAGTAGCATCTGACTGCTGGTTTTGATTGGGCGCTCTCCCTTGTTCCTCGCTGAATGTGTAACCCCTCCAGGGCAGGTACCTTTAGATAGAGCTGTGCCGGGTTGTGTGCGGTGCAGCCAGAAGTGTGGATGTGCAGATGGTGTGAGAGCGAGTGAGTGAGTGAGACGAGCGTTTTGTGCGAGGATGTGCGTGTGTTTCTCACCAGTTCTGAGGAGAGCATCTTTGATTGGCTCCCAGACTCGGGGTATAAGTGTATTACATAAGAGGGCTGGCAGACACAGGGAGGACGGACCGCGATACTCACTTGGTGCGTCGGGGTAGAGAAACCTCTTTCAGGGATAACGGCGTCTTGTTGACGTCTAAGGAGGACCGCTTGTCACCTCGGCTGCTTCCTAAAGGGATTCAGTTACGATGATTTGAATGAGCCGGACTTCTCCATGCATACTCTCACCGAACAGCTGCACGCCACCAACATGGTAAGGCTCGGACATTGAGGCACGCGTGCGTCTGCTCGGGGATGCTATAGGTGTTCTGGTGCAGCTGTGCTGTGGACGGAGACAGAGTGATGTTGGAATGCAGTGGATCTGCCAGTGCGGTGAATGCTGATGTGTTGAGCTGCAAAGATGATACAAGAAAATGAATCAGCTTTTTATTCTAACACATTTGCCAGCCTAAAAAAAAAAAATAAAAAAAAAAAAAACAGAAAGCATTGTCATCTGCTTCTGTGTGTGGGAACAGATTTCTCTGCATTTATTTGCATTGACCCAAATAGAAGATTTGCAGTTTTAAGAGTGATTACTGGCTCACTGATGTTTGATGTTGCTTCTGTAACAACAAGAGCAGATAGACAAACAAGCAATAATGAGCATGGCTTTATCTTTGTGTTTACCGTATGCCAAATGATCAAGCTAGGGCTAGATATGGGGGTGTTCTAGAGGATTGGGGAAGACTGATTATGTAAGGCTTTTAATTTATTCAGACATGAGAAGGGGGAAAGGGATGCAATATATTGGAGAGTGCAGGACTTATTTGGAAGATCAAGGGAAGACGCAAAGGAGAGTGAGGTGGGATGGGGTCGGGGGTTTCAGCAGTAAACGCTCTGCCTCACTTTCTCTTTCTGTGTTCCTGTCAATTGGTAGGGACTGGAGAGATTGTGCTTGTGCTGAACGGGGTTGAAAATGAAGTGGCAGTGGAAACGCAGGAGGCAAGACTGACTTGAATGCAAATCTGATCTGTTGTAGGTATCAATGTACAGCAGGCTTCTGGTTTTGGTTTCAAAATTGCTACTTTTTCTTTAAGGCACGTTGATTTTACAGTCCCAACGACAGGATGAAGTATCAGAGTGGCCACAGCTTAAAGTTGAGTTGAGACATGCTTGCCCTCCCCCACTTGTTGCTGCAAACTGCCTGTTGAGCCCCTTAGAAAAGCAAGAACTTTACATTTTGATAAAGGTTATTATTCCTGAGAGTAACATGTCGTTCCTAATCTATTGTATACATCTGTCCAAAGGTGTCTTTAAAGTAGGTGCTACACCTACCTGCTCGATGTCAGCATTTTCCTGAAGCTTGACATCAGACGTCACCGAGCTTTGCACTGAAGTGCGGCAGGTTTGCGAGTGTGTAAAGCTGCACAACAGAATGATTGCACGCTTGTTCAGCGCTCACTCTTTGTTTGTGACAGCTCGCTCACTCCCCACATTTGGAAATATTCTGGCGCTTCCTGAAGTGTCCTTGCCTCATCCCATCATCTTTGTCAGCATCAGTGAAGCATCCTCATCTGTCACCATGACGACAGCCATTCCTTGCCTTGCAGGCGTGGATGCCTCCCCTTGTGTTCACTCCTCTGCCCTGATTGGCTTATATCCCCTGCAGCTGTACGGGTTGGCGGTTCTGTGAAGCCTGAGAGCTAATGGGGAATTTTTTTTGTACTAGAGATATGAAACTAAATCATAAAAGGAAGTAGAGCTTCTTTGATTAAAAAAAGAAAACACGGAGCCTGAATGAATATAGCAAAATTCATACCCATCCATGGGACACAGTCGTCTCCGGGCCTTTAATAACTCCTTACCTGGAGCTTAAGCATCGCCTGTCAGGCTCGGTTAGCCCTGGCTACTCTGCCCACAGCCCCAGGGAATGGATGCACAGTTAGTTACAAACTGGAGAATGCTGATGAACACTACTGCAGGGAGAACAATTTTAGAAACAACTCACAGGGCCGTAAACAGGGTTAACGTATACAAAGAGAGAAGTGTGGCTCTGCATGTGCAATTATGCATGGACGTCTAGTTGTCAAAGCAAGAAAGCTGACTAGTCAGTGTGATGGATGGCGAGGCCGTGGACTGACAATGTCAGGTCCAGTTCTGCCTTCAGAACATTATCTGCTGCCTAGTCTTTCTTTAATAAGAAAAACCTTTAGCTTCTCCAAGTTCCCTAAAGAATATGCATCACCCTACTGGGTTCAGTGCTCTTACTCTACCTGATATTTTTTAAATGTCCAGCAAAAGTGTCCGTACTTTATATTTTATCACATTACAACCCAGAGGTCACAGTAGACTTTTATGTTGTCTGCCATTTTGACTAGCGGTGTCAAAAAAAAAAATCCAGTATTTTTACCCATCAATTTTTAAAACAATATTGGCATTTGCATTTAATTTTCATCCTGTTTAGTTGATATTCAACAAGCTGAACAGATAATCTACATCATGTCGTCAATCAAATACAGCTGACGATGACATCAATTACGTTTAGCATTTTCTCTGCAGTGAGAGTTTTGAAATCGGGGAACACTTCACCAATGAAAGTGGTCAGAAGTTCGACAAGACTCTTTGAACATTACCTGATGCCCCAAAACATTTCCTCCAGTGGGAGAACAGAAGGAACCACTCCAAAGAACCACTCCAACGCCTCTTGTCTAAAACCCTTCAGCGCGTCGCCATCAGCGCTCGGATAGCGTCCAGATCAGAGATGATACTCTGGTCACTGACCGTTTGGTCAGTTGTGTGTAATTTGTCAAAATAATGGATTTTTCTGTCACCCTTTAAAAAAAACTCAATCAAAGATGGAAGATATTTGGTTAAGGTGAACCCTGTTGTAACCACACACCATTGTATTTTATAGGAAGTTTGTGTGATCGACCCACAGAAAGTAGTGCTTTAGTGCCCAGCCCCATTTGTCATGTGAAGCACTTTGAACTGCCTTGATGGTGAAATGTGCTAAACTAATAAACCTGACTAGACTTACTCTGGCACCTGTTGTTAAGTACAGGTTTTCTGTAAAGGTATGAGAGGTGTGTTGGGGAATGTTAAGGAACGAGCAGCATCATGATGACCAAGGAGGTTAGCAGGACTTCAGTAAAAGATACTTCAAACTTTGACCTGCAGAAAAACTGCAGAAACACACAGCTGATGTTAGAGAATCCATTGACTGCTAGTGAAGGGGAAAGTTATAGTCAAGAGAAAGTCAAGAAGGTTCAGTTTGCACCCAGCAAACATTTGAAAGAGGGCTCTTTGGTCAGATGAGACTATAAAACACGTCCTACTCAAGGCCTGGGGGCCAAATCCAGCCCGCCACAGCTTTTTCTGTGGCCCTTTAGACTCCAAATTACATCAACACGTTCTTCCAGTTTTTCACAAATCTGCAAAATTCACACAAAATCAACAAATCTCTGCATTTTTAAAAAACTTTTTTATTTTTATCTCAAATGTTCTCAAAATTGGTCAAAAACATTAAGTTTACGTGACAGGAGCCTTACTTGAGGTCAAGTTATAGTCCATAATTGATACGGTATGTAATAAAAAGTCACATTTCACATCACACATTAGCTCAAATATCATACAAATTCCTAATTCCTTCCTAATTTCTAAATTGGCTCCACAAAATATGAAATTTTTGTTGCAGAAAAAAAACACTAAAACAATAATAAAATCCTGGAGGAGCAGCTATTTATTGATATTTTAACAATTTAATTAGTTCTGTCAATATATTCTGGCCCAACCGGCCCTTTAAGAACATTCAGGTTTTTGATATGACAATGAGTTTGTCACCCCTGCTATAAAAGAAACTTAAGCTCAGTGGTTCCCAAACTTTTTTTTCTTTATGGCACAAAACCTCGTCAAAATCAGTTCAACTTTGTGGTTGTAACATGACAAGGTATGAAGAAATTCAAGGGGCGAACAAATGAGGACGAATGACTTTGTGAAACACTGTTATATCTTGCACTGCTCCAGGCTCTGCACACAGCTGTGCGCTGCTACTGTTTATTTATGCTACGACAAGATGTACACATTATTTATTCATGATTTGGTAATCAATACATAGAAGCTGACGAGCCACTGGTCCGTGATTGCTGAAGACGGTTTTGCAAACAAAACAACACGACCCTGGCGGAAGCATGGAAGGTTATCTCTTCATGTTGTTCTGCTTCTTAGCTGTTACGTTACATTAACACCTGTAATTATTACAATGTCATAATGAGCCAATTACAACCTTCATGTAGAGGCGGGTTTGATGCCTCTGAAAGGTGTTGTTTCCCCATTAATGGCGTTGCCCTTTTTGTGTGTTTCTTTTGTTGCACCTTGTTTGCTGTTGTGGTGTCGTATATGCATTGCAATCCCTGTATTGTCACTGGATTCCTCATTCAGTTGTGCATCAATTATTAATCTCAACAAAAAAGGCTTCACAGGTTGAGGCCGAAACGAGGCGTATTACTGTTTTAAAATTAGTATTAAGTTTGATATCTGTGCTGTTTAAAATGTACATTTTATTGATGGATTTTTGTTTAGCCGTGTTCTGTTGCTGCACAGCACTGTTTTTACGTAGTCAGAATAAAACAAAGCAGATCCCCTGTCTTTCTCCTCTAGTTGATAAGTGGAGGCTCGGTTGTCAACGCTGAGGCGGTATGGGACCACGTGACCATGGCGGATCGGGAGCTGGCGTTTAAGGCCGGCGACGTCATAAAGGTGCTGGACGCTTCCAACAAGGACTGGTGGTGGGGCCAGATCGATGAGGAGGAGGGATGGTTCCCCGCCAGCTTTGTACGGGTGAGTTTGAGGCAGCTGTGGCTGCCAGTGAACCTTTGACCCGGCGGACATGTTTTCATACTCACAGAAACGGTGAGCGCGTCAGCACAGAGCGGAGGGGACAGACGCGCAATCGCACAGTCACGTCAAACACACTTAAACGCACACAGAGTTTTGAATTAGTTTATTTTAGGAATACACGATGCCCAGGAGACTAGAGAACAGTTAGCTAAGCATCTTTGTATCCAAGAAGAATAAAACAAAGATGCTAATGAGGTTCTTGTTTTATTTGGCTTTTACCTTCAACTCCTGTCCTTAATGAAATTATTTTTCCAGGAGCCGATGCTGTGATAATTCTAACATCTTGCATTCCCCGTTAGACTGTTTCAGTTTAGTCTGGTGCCAACATCTGAACTTGTGGTTTTTTTTTTGTTTTTTTTTATTATTATTTGCAACTATCTAGGATTTTAATTATCAGTTTACACCTTACAGCCAAAACATTGTGATTAAGTAATATGTCAGTGGTGTGAAAACAAGCAGCCTGGAATGATACAGATGTTTTTTTAATGCTCTATGCCCTGATGGATATTGAAACACACATCTGTATGCCACAAAAAAGCCGGGACAAGCAGCTTACACTAGCTAGATATGAAGGAAATGTGTTTTGTAAGAAACATGTCTAAAAAGACACCTCAACTCTCCACAGGGTGCATGGATAATAATCAACACCGATGTTCTTCGTCAGTGTTTAGATTGGCCAGAGCTGCTTTGGTGACAAAAGGAGGATGAACACGATGTCAAGCAGGTGGTCATAATGTTATGGCTGAGAAGTGTGTAATTTAAAATTGACAAAATGATTGTGGTTTATACGTTTCCTTGTTGAGCTTTGAAACTTTCCTAGTTAATTTGAAGGGCATGTAGCCAGATAGAGGAAAGACTTGGTCCATTTTGAAACTAACAAAACCTTGATAGAGAATTTTTAAAAATTTGTGCTGCTTTCAAATTAAGATTAGCACAGAACACAATCTTATAAACGTATTTTGAAATAATTTTTTGAAATATGTTTTTTTCTCATAGCAAACTATATTCATTGTAAGCAAAGTATTTTTTTTTTTTACTAAACCTTTCAAAATTTGGTCTTTTACAACCACAAACTTTAATAAACATAAATGTGTTAGACCGGCTCAAAGTTGTGCAGATGGTATAGCAGAAGAAATGTGTTTTTTTTTTTTCATTCATTTTGTACAAGAAAAATAAAAACAAAATATCGCAAGTATTTATATTCAGTTCTTTTTACTCTGATTCTCCGAAATGGAATCTTTTGCAACCCCTTGAAGTTACACTATAAATAAATCGAGTGCATCTGTGTGTAATTTATTAATCTGAGCTGTTTAGTAAAGAGAATAAATACTCTGGATCCCAGCAGAGCGGTCAGGTAGAACGTGTTTCAGTCCATCATCTCAGATAGAAAGGGGGAGCATAATTCAGAGAAGCAGGGTAACTCTGGAGATGCAGAGATCTACAGCTCAAGTCAAATAATGTGATTGTGCTATTAGCTGTACACTCCAGAAATCTGGTCTGTTTGAAGAGTGGCAAAAATGAAGCCACTGTTAAAAGAAAGTTGAAAGTTCCTGTAGAACATTTAGAACAACTTAGTAGGTGAAACAGCCCCAGAAAATACCCAAACTTTTGGCGTAGTTGTAGAGCACATTATCTGGGGTCAAACTAGCGTCACACACGTCTTTCCTTTGAGACACATTTCAGAGTTGATGGGAAGGTGGAAGTAGCTGCATATGGGGTAAGCCTAGAAGAAAGAGGCTGTGAAAGACTCGAGACGGGTCTTTCACAGGTTCATCTTCCAGCATAGAGCTTGAACCCCGATGGATCGCTGCATCTTTGCGTTGATCTAACATGTTAAATTTTATTTAAACACGTTGAAATTTGTGGTTGTACGATGCAAAATTTCACAATGTGGTCAAATACTTTGGTAAGGCAGAGCACTATGCATCTTTAGATGTTCATGTAGGCAATATTTAACCCAGTGAAGTTGGAGTACGTAAGTAAGGCAGCAGCTGAACCGCAGCTGGAGTCCTTCCACTGTAGACCACCTCCCCTCCAGACTCTTCTCATGGCCATTCCCACCTGTCCATCCTTCCATATTCACTCCTGAGAGGGCAGGAAAGACGGGCTGAGTGACTGTCAACCAAACAGTATCTCTCTGTTCTGTCATTCTCTCTCTCCAAGGTGGAACCCCACCCTCCTCAGCCCCAAACAAAACAGGTTTTCTATATCAACCCCATAGCAACTCCACGGTTCCAAAACACCACGTCAAAGGTGCGTTTTTTTTTTTTTTTTTCCCCTCAGCTTCCATCAACCCATCCAGCCTGCCCGCTCACCCGCCCGCTCCAGTCTGTCCACGCAACGTTCCCTTAACATTACCAGACATTAATGTACCCATGGCGTTATCACATCATTCCTCAACGGGGACAACGGAGAGGCGCTACCGATGAGTCAAAAGTAAAGACTGTGTGAAATGCCCTGTTACTGGCCTAGAGTAAAATTCTCACATATTGATGTGAAAGAATGTCATTTCAGGATGATATTTTGTAACGCATATTTACATCAAACATGACGATTTTTTTTCCTCAGTACTTTTTTTACTATTGACTCTGACTACTTTTCAGTCGTACTGCTGCGCTACCAGTTCTCGTCAGTGCTCAACCACCTGTCACTCTGCTTGTCTGTGGCGCTACATTTCCCATTTTGTGTTTGGCATTCTGGACGTCGGTTCTTTGATGTACTCTTGGCAAACTGTGTGTCATCAGGTGTTGGCTGCTGGGCAAATCAAACCATGCTCACTTGGCCCCCTCAGTGAAACACTGGAATAAGCTTTACATGTGGATCTGTCTGTGAAGTGCGAGTTTGGAGGCTGCATGAGTTTTGTAAGGAAATGGTGTGCATAGCTTCAATAAAGACTGTATTATACGTATCTCACAGGACTGAAGTATGATTGGCACTATGTACCTAACGTTTTTTGAGATGCTAACCCAAGACTTATTTATTGTGCAAACTTAGTGAAACTCTCTAAAAGTAATGGAAATAGTTTATATATATATATATATAGTGTGTGTGTGCATTCATGCTGAAAAGTGACTGATACATGTTTAGCAAATGTGTGAATGTAAATTACAGCAATTTTGTGATACTAACATGCAATGATAATAATGATAATGCTGACCATACAGTGTCCTCCACACCTACTGGAGCCATTGGTGAAACTGGGTAAAAAAGTATTTGATAAAGTTCAACTCTTAATGGAGTAACATAATCCCAAATTGTAAAAAAAAAATAATAATAATACGTTGAATTCGAAATTGAATGAATTTACTTAATCTGGAAAACTGTCCATCCTAGAAATAACATGCAAGTAGTTATTAATTACTTTTTAAGTTAACCAAAGGGTCAGAGTAGTTTTAGTGAATCTCCAAAGCTTAATTATAAAAAATAAATAAATAAATTGTAGCCAAGAGTGGCATTAATTAAATGCTTCCTACCTGCTAACCTGTTGGTTGGTTGGTGTTCAAGAAAAATCGCCTTTTTCCGTCATACCATTACAAATAAAAACCTTAAACTAACCTCAGCTCTGGTTAGACCAAGATTGAGCTTTTTGACAACAACCACCCCAGTTGGATTTGGCCCGAAACAAAGAACGAACACAAGATTGCAACATATTTTCACTGTTAAGTATGGTGGAGAGTCTGTGATCTTGTGGGCCTTTTTCTACTCCAAAGACCTTGAATAGTAGGAGATTTTGAATAAAATTTTATGTAGCCACCCAGAACATTGAACATGTGTTGACATTGAGTCTTTAAGTAAGACAATGATGCCAAACTGAATGAAGAATTAACACAAAATCAACCTTCTTTCAAGGGTATCTTTAGTCCCAAACCCCAAATCCTGCAGAAAACCTGGGAGGTTGAGCAGAAGAGAAGTGAGCATTAGTGAGGAGCCAGGACTCTCTGGGTGATGTAGAGAAACTGTACAAATAAAAATGGTCAAAGATTTTTCTGTCTGGACGCCCCAACCTTTCTAAATGTAACGAGAGGAGTAGGTGCTCTCCCATTCGCAAAGTGCTAACAGAATCAATGCCAGTAACTGTGTTACACATGTTTTCATGGAAAAAATGTTTGTTTTTTTTATGTGAGATTATGCTACTGCAATAAAAGTTGAATTCATCCGTAGGCTTTTTGCACATCTTGTGGTGCTAATAGGTGTGGAGCGTGCTGTGTAAATACGTTCAGTGAAACCGCTTTCCGTCACATGTGTGCGTTGAACCCAAGAGCAGCTCTGACGGAGCGGCTCTGTGTGTGAACGTGTTTTGTCCTCAGCTGTGGGTGAACCAGGAGGACGGCGCGGCAGAGCCGGCCGAGGGGACCAGCGAGGTGCAGAACGGGCACCTAGATCCGACCAATGACTGCCTGTGTCTGGGCTCCCCCCTTCAAAACCGAGACCAAATGAGGGCTAACGTCATCAACGAGATCATGAGCACAGAGAGACACTACATTAAACACCTCAAGGACATCTGTGAGGTACTGAAACACGTCCAGCAGCACAAACACCAGCGCTCCGCACCGTTTCCTAATAGTACTAGTAAGAGCAGCGGAGGTAGTAAGTTTGCAAGAAGCTGAATAAACAAAAGCAGGTGTGAGATGTAGAGAACGCTCGCTCATGCTACACGAAGATCTGTTAAGAATCAGTCACACTCCCACATTCACACTTTTATCTGATTTAATCATATTTTTTCTTTGGATTAAAAAAACCAGCCCAGAGCTGAGACTCCTCTTGTCAGAAACACGTGAGACCACTCTATAGTTTTGGCTGCCTATAGCAAATACATCTCGTTAGTTGTGCTGAGGTTTAAAGTTGAATTTTGCGCTTTATAAAATTCAGCCTTGTTCTGTGCATTCTAATTTCTCCGAGAAGGCCTTTCCCGAGTGCCATTTAAATCAAAATCTGATTAAAAACTTAAAATTGGACCACATTCCTAATCATCCAGTCGCATAATTTAAAGATACTAGATACTTGTTTTGTCTTTGTTGTGTTTTTACTGAAGTATGTGAATCTATAAAATAACGAGTGAGTTTATCTCACAATACGGTTCATAAGAAGTACGCCGAGGAAACAAAACTACCAATTCTGATGCATTTATATTGGACAATGACGTCACAAGAGGCAAAATAATCTCGCTGTTCAGCCACATTGAAAAAGCTATGGTACAAAAGTGACTTTTAGTCGGTCTGGAGGTAGAGGTCCTCTTCACAAACAGTGTGTTTCATTGCAGTCTTTTGCCATGGGGTAAGGGGAAAAATGTATGTCTTTAAAAGACATTAGATTAGCTGCCTCATTCCTGATGTGATGTCAGCAGAAGCATGTGTTTGTGGAAGCTTGCTTTCTAGATTTTATCTCGATAAATAATGTTTTACAGCAAAGTAGCGCAACAAGCAGAAAACGACCATGACACAAGATATCTCTAAAGTGAGTGTGCGATTGATTTTACAGAAAAAAACACAACCTTGTAGCTCTCAGTAAATCCCTCTTGTTTTTCTCTGATTGTTGTTTGATTAACAAAAACTATAGTTTGTAGTACAATACACTCAGATAAACACAGGTTGGTTCTGGTTTGAATTTTGTTCTTCTTAAAGAGCCAGCGTCAGCCTTTGCATGTGTGCAGAGCAGCAGCAGCAGCAGCAGCTCCACGGCAGATAAAGCAGATAAATAAACCACTTTGACTTGGGGTGGTTTCTCATGCACATTTCTGGCTTATCTAATCATCTGGGCCTAATCCTCTGTATGCCCTTTGCTTGTTCTGTGGATGAAGCGTAATGTTTAAAAATAGTTGCAGCAAAGCATAAATTTCACCTTCTCACCTCTGCACCTCGTGCTAGTTGAACCACTCTGCATAAAGGTTGTGATGTGGAGGGGTGTTCCAGCTTCAAAACCCCACTGACTTCATACAGAGACATGAAATCTGACTGTGATTATTTGGACAAGTTGACATCTTGATATTTTCACTAAATGTTAAAGCATCATGACCTTTAATTAAACACTAGCAGCCGTGTCACAATCCCTTCACACAATTCCGAGTAAGAAACATGTGAAACTCGTGTTTTTTAAAAGTGTTATCCTCTTTTTTTTTTTTTTTTTATCATCGTTATTATTTTTGCAGGGTTACTTGCGCCAGTGCAGGAAGCGTGTGGACATGTTCAACGACGACCAGCTCAAGGTCATTTTTGGAAACATAGAGGACATCTACCGCTTCCAGATGGGCTTTGTCAGAGATCTGGAGAAACAGTACAACACAGAGGAACCGCACCTCTCTGAAATCGGGCCGTGCTTTTTAGAACACGTGAGTATTTTCTTTTTCTTTTTGTTCACGCTTAAAAGGAGGAGGTCTTTGAGATTTTTGGGACCAATTTTTCATCGGCTTTGAAAAGCTTTCTGTTGCAAATTTTAGCTGATTATAGTTTCTGTTTAATAGCAACAATTGTTCTCCTTTCTATACGAGTTGAGGGATGGCATGAGCATCTGTGTTGGTTGATTTTAGACATTTTTTTGCATACTGTATCAATCCAATAAGTAAACCCGGGTCGACATTAACAACTGATTTCTATTTCCATCTTGTTGCCATTTTGTGTCTCAGGAGGAGGAGGCCATGTGTTACATGTGACAGTAATAATGATGCAGCAGAGGACTGTGAGAGGATTATTATTAATACTGGTTATCAATTTTGGCCCAGATTTTCTTATCAGTGCATCACTAGAATATTTAACTGTTTTAATATAGTTTGTGGAATATATTTTAGGAGGTGTTTTTAAAAACAATCCAACGATACAGAGCCGCTTCTAAAAACCTACGAATGCAGTGATGAGAGCAGCAGCATGTGGTTGAGCTCGCTGTCTGGGGTTTGACCCTGACCTTGACACCCTTTGCTGGATGTATTTTTTTCCCCCATTTTTTGTCTGATTACCAAAAATACAGGCCCTTTGCATCACAAAACATCTTACAGCGTATTCTACAACTACTTTGCATTAACGATAATGAATCATTAACATCTTTTTTACTTTTTTCTCTACACACATAGTGACTGTAATGTGCACCAAATTACAAGATAGCAATTTATCTTGACCACATCATACCAAAATAACAATCAGTGGTTAATAATTGAGATGAAATTGTTTGGATGTAATATTGTGAAATTGTTCATTTATTGTAATAATCCAAGGGTCTCACGCTTGGTTTCATGTCCTTCCGTCTTGTTGTGTAAATTCAGTCAACGAGCGGCGCTGATCAAACCAAAAGAGCAGCTGGTTTATGAACACAGAGGGAGTCATTTTTCCAAAATGTTTTATCGTCTTCTAAAAATAGTACAGTAAAACTTTGAAGTTCAGTTTATGTCGGGAATGCTCTTCTCTTATTTATTTTATTTTTATTCTTTGTCTATGAGTTGCTGAATACATGCAGATTTAATTTAGAGCGACGTCCGCCATTTAAAATGGGAACTGCAGTAAACGGGCTCCTCTACTGAGGTAAAAAAATTCTGCAGGCCAGACTTCTGGGCTTGGTTCGATACTATACATTCAGCTTTGGGTGACTTTCTGCCATTTAGGAGCAGCGTCACTGTGAGGGAGCTGTTGTGCTGCACAGTTCTGCAGTTAAACAGGATTTTACTGCTACTTTCAAACAAAGGCACAATAATTACAACGTTGACATTAAAGACGGCTCTCCTTGGCATTTGATATTAGCCATTGGGATGATTGATGTTATTACCATCGCTAGCACAAGGCCCTAACTACTCAAAAGGATGAAACTGAGCAGCTGAGCTGTATTACGATCAGCTTTGTGTTATTTGTTTTAAAGTAACAACCTCTGTAGAAAGTTCTGCTTTCTGTCTGGAAGCCTCTTGCTGCTTTTGTCCTTCCTCTGACTTCGCTAATTGTGAAAATAGCAAATGGCTACGTTTCTCAGTGACAGTGTCCACACTGAAGAGTGTTGTCGTCAGTGCAACATGGTAAATCTTCCAGATGGTACATTCACAGAGAAATAAGATTAGACTTTCAGTTTCAGGGATGGTCCAGCAAAAGATCATCCGTTTCTTCGGATTTCTAGATGCATAAACTAGAGCTAAGTTATCTCAGGGTCTTAATGTAACCATCACACAGTTAAAGCTAAAACTGTCGTTATCCTTAACTTAAAACTGCCTTCATGTAGATATTGGCAGTCCGGCTGTCTGCTTAATTGTGCTTACCGTCTCACTTCCTCTGACGATGAATCTCTCCTCCTCTACATTGCAGCAAGACGGATTCTGGATCTATTCAGAATACTGCAACAACCACTTGGATGCCTGCATGGAGTTAAGCAAACTGATGAGGGATGGCAGGTATCAGCACTTCTTCGAGGCTTGTCGCCTCCTCCAGCAAATGATTGACATCGCTATAGACGGCTTCTTGCTCACCCCTGTCCAGAAAATCTGCAAATATCCCCTACAGTTGGCCGAGCTCCTCAAATACACAGCACAAGACCACAGGTACCGTCTGCTTTAGCGTTATTCCATGGCTTTACAAGCTGCACTGATGCGTTGTGTTCTGAGATGCTCCTGCTGCAGATGTTGAGTTCATTACACCGAGGCGGTAGTTCTCCTTGCTTGTGCTGAAGCAGATGTAGAGCCAACAGTATGCATCTTGACTTGGAAAAATCACACTGCGCGTTTTGTTTTGATGGCACTTTCCAGGAGCATTTTTTTTTTTTTTTTTTGCAGCCCAAACTGTAAATATTAACAGATTCCTCTTGCTACGTGCTACAATTTTCACAAACTACATGCTGAGTGCAGGAGCCGGTGTGGGCAATGTAAACATTTGCACATGCACCCTCGAGCCCTCCCAGAATGCATAATGCGAGCTTCCAGATGTGCAAACTCATCCATGTGAGCCCACAGAAACCCTGTGCAAGTAATGCGGCGTGTCTCCGCCAGCTCCAGGTCATTCACAAACCAAGCATTCTCAGCCAGAGAGGGACAGGTGCCAGCTCTGCCAGAAAAGCCTGCCAGATCACAGTGTTTCACTGTTTGAGAGCTGTGGAGAATCTGCCAGATATAGGCCTGTGTCTGTCTCACTTGTTCACACAACACTGGGGCACAAACACACACACACACACGCGCACACGTTATCTTCCGAAGTGAGGATTGGATCCGTAGCGCATCTTAGCCGGAGGGATAAATCCAGCTCAGTTTGCATAGATGCTGTCAGACCTTACTGTGAATACAGAGACGGCTGAATAAAATTAAATAGCTGTGTGTTAATTTGACTGTATTTCAGCAGACTTACCCCGCTCACTCACTCACTGGCGTTTATCACTGCTGCCTTTAATAGGCTCCTCTGTATCCCTCACTAATGCAGCGTAATATGTCTTTGAGTGGACGAACTCCAAGAGCCATAACTTCGGCCCGTAACACTCCCGAGTAATTACGCATGCCTTGTGTCTGTAGCGACTATCGATACGTGGCAGCTGCTTTGGCCGTAATGCGGAACGTCACTCAGCAGATCAATGAGAGGAAGAGGCGGTTGGAGAACATCGACAAAATCGCCCAGTGGCAAGCCTCCGTTCTCGACTGGGAGGTACGTGCACCCTGAAGAAGATTTCTATCCAGCCTGCTTATTGATTCAAACTTGTGTTGTTGCACACCAGCAAAGCTGGGAAAGATTGAAGAGTCGAGCAAAGAAAAACTAAATAAGTTGAAAAATTACTCGGCAGAAATCAGACCTCTTCAGGTTTTGTCATACCACCAGTTCAGTCAACTGAAAAGAAAATCTCTATGTTTCATTCACTTCAGTGTATGAACTATTGCTATAATATAAACTTAAGTTTAAGATTCATGCAGAATAAAAGCTATGAGCAAAAGAACCACGACACTGCTGTATCTACACAAGGATTATTAATGCAACAGTTTGTCCTGTGTAACATAATACAGTTCTAATAATGCAACATTTATTGCCATTTGTAGTAAAAATATAGAACATAAGCCTGATGCATCTATTTGTAGTTTTTGAATGCTTATTGCTCTAAATATTATATCTTTTAGCTGTTCTGCTTTTTTATAGACTAACACTTCTCACAGCTGATTCTGATTGGTTAATTAGCAGAGCTATCTTCTCGGGAAGCTAGCCTGCAGCCTGCAGCTTATCGTAACACGCACTTCAACAGCATTAGCTTAAGGGATAGTGCTGATACTTTGAAGTGAGACTATGCAAAGTTACTGTCAGTCTATTTTTAGTAGTTAGATGTCAAATTGCACTGAGTTTGCAAAACAAATTTTGAAAAATCCTGCAAGTTGTGGAAGGCTAACATCTAGTTGAGTAGTTACAGAGACAATTTTAGTCACTTAAGATAACTGAGAACATATCATGGGATAAAATGTTAGAAGAGTTGAAAGTTAGATTTAGGTTTTTTTAGCCAAACAACAAAGCGTCTGGCTGGTCTTTCTGCTAGCTTGGGTTTAGGTTGGAGATGGGGTGAAGGACTTGCATCCTGAAGTTTCTGGTTGCTACATGCAGCTTTTGTTTAGGTTGCAGACTGATCACAGGATGTGGGAACCTGCAAAAGAAAAGTCTTGTCCCTTACACTGACCAATAACGAGCAAAGACGTGGTTGAGTTTTGGCTCAATCTGCTGCTGAGTATAAATATGTATGCATACTCTCTGCTCCGGGTGGTGAGCAGTGACTCTTCAGACTAAAATCAATAAAATGAGTTGCACGTTTACATAGAATAGTTTTGTGCTTCTCTAGATGTTGTGATGTCCATTTGACAAGATGTTGGCCTTTCGCATCTCTGAGGATTGGTTTACTTTTCTAGAGGCTACAAGTTTCCTGCACTGTACATGAGATCTGTCCATGTTACAGGGAACCTTTACTGAAAATACTTTCACAGAATCTGCCTTAGCAGTTTTTGTTTTTCACAAATGGGAATATTTCTGAAAAATCCAAACATATAGCAACATGTGCTACACATGTTATGCGTTATTCTGTGCTCCATAAAGCCAATTGCTCACAGTGACTGCTCTAGCACTTCTTCTAGCTCCACATTAAATTGGTTTGAACCGAAGGAATGATTTGATGGAACATTTTAAGGGTTTTGAATTGGTAACGTTTTAAATGTTTTGCCTACCTTGATACCGATACCTGGTCCATGCCTACCTGGGGTTGTCGTAGCAACTGCTGCACAGGAAGGAGAAGAGATTATAGTAAAAAAATACGTGAAATTATCAAAAAGAAAAGTCTTCAAAAACTGTTTTTACATGATGATATTAATAAATATTACTGATTTAAGAGAAAATCACAATAGTACCTAGAAGAGAAAGCGAGCTAACGGTCACGTTTGATGCTTTTGTTTTTCTCGAGTTGCAACTCAGTGGCTAGCTCCCATTTTATGACAGCTCAGACATCTGAAAGCTCCCTCGGAGCCACAAAAACCATTACATAAGTGCCTTCCAAAGGCTGAGAAAGTGCAGCTATAATTAGTAAATTGACTGTAAGTGTACTAAGTACCAGTGTCCCTTTAATTAGTTAAGTTTTTCTGTGGTTGTATCTAGGGAGATGATATTTTAGACAGGAGCTCTGAGCTTATCTACACCGGGGAGTTGTCATGGATCTATCAGCCGTATGGACGCAGCCAGCAGCGAGTCTTCTTCCTCTTTGATCACCAGCTGGTGCTCTGTAAGAAGGTAAGCGCTTTTTCTTTTTCTTTTCTTTTTTGTTTTTGTCTATTTCAACTTCTTTTTTTATTTCTACGCCTGTATGGCTGTAAACAAGCCGGCTGCGAACACATAAATCCCCAGTTTGTGCTCCAGCGAGTTGCGGTATCACATGGCTGGCGAAGAGGGGATGCTTGAACACAGTGTGACTTCATACAACCTTAGTGAGGAGTTGAAAATAGATTACATAACGCTGCATGAGACACACCAGTCCTCTGGGAAGACGCATTCAAATCCTCGGCGCATTTCACAAAATGGGAGCTGTGGTCGTTTGGGCTCTAATGCACTTGGGCTGTTATTCTTCCTGTCAAACGAATGTTTACGCTCGGATGGACTCGATACACTCACCGAGATGGAGACACAAATGCAGATGGACACACACACACACACACACACACAGGAGCCAGATCACTGCATTAGCACAGGCAGAGGAGCAACAGTTTCATCACAGCGCAGACACATGGAAAAAAAAAATGAAAAGGAAAATAGACATGTTGTCCTTCTGTTTTTCCACCCTTCAGTTCCCTCAGCTGAGACTCTCTGGCACTCAAAATTAACCCCGGTATTTTGCTAGGTCTTTATGTAACTGTTCTTTTCCTCCCTGTGTGGATTCTGCCTCAATATGCTCTAAATTATAAATTCCAGTCTATTTTCTGATTATTTAATATCCAGCATCCTCAGTACAACGTGTGCTCGAGATCCTGCCATCCCTTCAGTAGCATCAGAGCAGAAGCATTTTGTACTCCTGTACCTCTTCATCGCATATTACTATAATCGACGCAACATCTGCATTTATCTCTCTATGGTAATTAATAAATAGTTTGCCTTCTTTTTTTCAAGGTAAAGAGGCTTAAAGAATTGGGGTTTTTTTTGGTTTGGAGAATGCAGAACAAATTTGCATTTGCTCTTTCACGTTTTCAAAAGGATAGTGTTGTATTTTGGATTTTATGAGATGAAGAAGAGAAAGAGATGCTTAATGCTGAACCAGGAGGAAAATAAAACGGGATTTTAAATTTTGCTGCAAATAAGCCTGTTGTAATAAGCAACTGATCAATTAATGGCATAATAAATTAAGATTAGCTCAATAATTTCCATTTTGGTGATTAGTATTTTGTTTACAGAGACATTATAATCAATTTTATCTATGACTTCGGTTGTAAGAGGGTTTTTTTTGTTGTTGTTTTTGGTTGTCATGTTTTATTTTGAATATTTAAAAAAATCTTCCAGTTACAAAATTAAAGTTTATCGGTCTTTGAGAGGATGAACATGCATTCTTACACCACTATCAGTATAACACTTGAAAATGATCTCAAAACAACATTAATGTTTACCACAATAATTACTGGGACAATGTCTTGTTATGGTGGCAGACATATTTACAAAATAAAATCTGGAAAGTGCCCATTTGTATTTATCCTCCTTTACGTTGACACTGAAACCCTTCTCTCGCTCCTCTCCAGGACCTGATACGTCGGGACATACTCTACTACAAGGGCCGCATCGACATGGATCGCTACGAAGTTCGGGACGCCATCGACGGCCGGGACGACGACTTTAACGTCAGCGTTAAGAATGCTTTCAAGTTGTTCAACAAAGACAGCGAGGAGATCCACATCTTCCTGGCCAAAAAGCCCGAAGAGAAGATCCGCTGGCTCAGGGCCTTCCACGAAGAGCGGAAGATGGTGCAAGAGGACGAGAAAATTGGTAATCACACACCCGCTGTAGCTTCCAGTGTAGGTTCGATTGTTTGATATAAAGTTGCAAATAAAAACCCAAAATAACAAAAAAAAAAAAAAATATCACCGTAACAAACCAACGCTAGATCAGACTTGCTGGATTCTGTTCAGGACGAAACAAATGACTCATAAAAGATGCGTCATCAGGACTGTAGAAGGTTTTTGATTTGTCTCTGACTTAATTCAAATCTGTTTCCGCTTCTGTAAAAGACAACCTTTGCTCCAGTCGACCTCCGTTGATGTCTGACCAAATTCCTGTGCTGCTGTTTAGGTTTTGAGATCTCTGAGTACCAGAAGCGACAGGCAGCCATGACAGTGAGAAAGGTGACCAAACAGAAAGGTGAGGCAACAAGAAGATACCAGGTGATTTTCCCTTTTTGTTTTGTTCTCCTCACTGATCTACTCTGTCTTCTCATCGCTGTTTACTCTGTCTTTAATAACCTGCTCTCCTTTTTTACTTCCTGCACCCCGTTTAACACATGCCTTGTTTCTGAGTGGAAATAGGCCAGTCTTGGACCCAGTAACCCAGAACAGTCAAGAGATTATGGTTACTCGTTGTACTACAGCGCCCTCCACTCTTGTTGGCACCAGTAGCAAACGTGTGAAAAACCTTAAAATAAATCAATTTAAGTTTTTTTGCAGCAGCATAATCTCACACTGAGAAATGGAAGAAAAATCCGACCTTTACGTTTATCTTGTGGTGATTTTTTTTTATTTTTTATTTTTAGTCACTCCTACCAATTTTGATCAAATAAATGTAAAATCTTGATACAAGTGAGGAACTAAAACGCTACATATCTACAGTCAGAGCATCGATTAAAAGTTTAAAGTGACTCTGTGAGAAACAAAGCGTCTCAATGACCTGTTTGTGTTTTTACTTTATGCAAAGTAAGCAGGATGATAAGAAAAGTAAAAAAAAAAACCCCGAAAAACTCCAATGATTGGATAATGACAGGTTATGAGAGGCCACGCTGCACTTCTAATCATTTCCTTTTGTTTTGGCACACAACAGAATCACCTAATGAACTTTATGGACTTGTGTACCAGAGGCAGGCAAAAACAAATAGCATGTTGGTTTTTGGCTGCAACAAGACGCACTTTGGGGTCACCAGGTCTCCATAGCTACCACTGAACAGTATCCTCACACCCATTGGTTGACAAAATAAAAAAGCCTTTCCTGTTCTACAGTCACAAATCTAAAGTTACCTTCTGTCCAAAGCCATCTCAGTCCCATAGAAAACCTGAGGTGATCTGAAGAGAGGAGATTATATACAACAGGCTCCAGATTCTGCAGAGAGGAGTAGTCAAAGATCCGCCTCTCTGCATGTTCTCCCTATTTTAAGTAAGCAGGCAAATTGCTGCCCTATTGGCAATTGAGGCTCTTCTAACTATTAACCCCCGGGTTGCAAGCAATTTCAGAACCGGTTATTCTGCTTAAAACAATCACTAAAAAACTTCAAATCAAGTCCAAATGTGAGATTATTCTCCTGCAAAGAAGCATGAATTTATTTCGGAGCATTTCCCACACGTTTTCCAGGGATGCCAACAATCATGGAGGGTGCTGCATGTCTAACGTCTTCCGTCTGAGTCGAGCCTTAGTCAGCAGCACAAGTTGGAAAAGCAGCCGTTAAGCATCAATGAAAAGACAGAGGGCTGTTTGCATGAAGTTTAAAGGATGATCCCAGTCTTCAGGACATGTGGGTCCTGTGTCACGCTTGTCTAGACGCCATTAATAGCAGCACCACTCCAGACGCGTTTCTCTCCCTCTCTGAGCTAAAAGGTGTTTGGTGTAGCTTCCCATCGCCTGTAAATGCAGCGTAATGTTGCCACGACACAGTGTGGCGAATTGGAGCGAGGATTTCGGCACTACCCCTTTTGTCCATGTCACTGGGACGGGGACATCTACCGAACATGCAACGGTGAGTTCGGTAGCAGAAGAACACATCAAAGAAACCCGTTTTTCCTCCAACCGGACGGAGCACCCACATGCCCTGACTTGCTGGCATCAGTCCTTTAAGATTTAGCCATTTAAACTGCCAGGCTAGATGTTTGTACATTTACCATTACTGATGTTCTTGCCAGATAAGCATGACCATCCATTTAAGGTATCGATGAAGTAATAACTAGAGCTGGAATGTTCTCTCTGATGCTAGGAACCCCCCTTTCCCCGTAGATGTCTGTGAGAAGTAAATGTTGTGTGTTTCTAAGTGCTGTATGTGTACGTGGCTGGCACAAGGTGAAGTACTTTCTTGAATTTCAGATTCATTTATAGATTTCATCTTGAGAAAGAGGGCCATGTTGTATGGACATGGTTTGAAAATGATAAAGGTATATGCATTAGAGTTTTCCTTAGAGCTAGCACAATAAGATGCCATGGCAACTGCTAAGCAGCATTGGAAGGTGTTGTGTTTATAACGTTGGCACTGGAGCATGCAATCACTGTCCAATCTGTTTACAAGCATTATCTTGACAATCCAAGATAAACAGCCTCTACTAACACAAATAGATCCAACCTCTCCGACTGCTAAAACGGAAGACACCGTTTCTCATCTCTTTGATTTGTTTTGTTAAGATGCCATGGCAACTTTTTCAATATTTCATCTTCAAATTCTGATTCCTTACTCCTACTAGCATAGCTGTGATGCTTGTAGACTGTAGCTCAACGACACCGTAGACTGTAGATTAGTGCATATTAAAATGCTTTCTGTTGGCTCTACTTTCTCCACCTGTGTGTGTGTGTGTAGTGTGTGTAAGTGTCAAACGGTGCTATTCAAACAAAGGCGCAGACAACAAACTCGGAAGAACAGACTCCAGACGCCTGGTGTCTTGATCATTTCAGGTGGAACCTGTCAGTTCTCCTGTTGCGCTGCCTCAGAGTTTGTTTGAATAACGTCGCCGTCCTCCACTGTGGCATTGCTGCAGCTGAATTTCACATTTCTGCCGATTCAGCTTTCATCGTTTTGACCAAAGTGTATCATGTCTCGAGATTAAATATGCAGGAATGATAACTGGTAGCTAATCTTGTTCGCCTGCATGCCTGTTTTCTGTGTGAAGCATGACTTGATGTTGTGGTGTTGTCCGAGATGCACCGGTTAAAGTTTTGGTGGCCAGATTCCGACTTGCGTTAAACGTGAACCTGGCGACGACATTGTTAGTCGATTCCAATATCTCTGTGTAACATTGCACGTTTTCAGGGTTTATTTACATTGCTAAATCAATTTTTTTTTATTCTGTTTTTTTTTATTTACCAACCATTTCGGTACTTTGAATATTGTAGTTAATCTCAAAGAGCCGACAGATAAAAGCATAAATTAAAGAAATGTTCAATTTAATAGCTTTATTGGCCTCAAAACAAATTAATATCTGTAACAGTGTGACATCTTGACTTGAAAACTAAATGAATCATAGATATATAGAGATAGCTGACCATTTTTTAGTTAACTTTATTAGGAGCAGAGGTGATATTACAGAATCACATAACAGAGCAGTCACGTAAAACAGGCTTTTACTATTATTTTTTGGTCAAAGAGAGATAATTATGGCGTTCAGCATTGTATATTAGCAATAGGATACATAAAAATGCAGATTCTTACTTCAACAATGTGATTTTCAAAAATGTGCCAACATTTCCAAACTCAGCGAAAGAATAAAATAGCATTGCTGTTATCCGCTGAAAGTCTCGCCCTCTCAAACTTGTTTTTTCTTTGACGTGTGAACAAACTGAAGAAAACATTTTTCTTTTCAATCTACTTTTTCTGACTCCCTACTTAAACACCTGTCTGATACTGAAAATAGTTTGAGTCTCTCCTCCATTCAGTAACGGCGTCCACACTGAAGAGTCTCATTGTCAGCACAATGCGGTTGCGTTCGAGTGATCGGAAAACGATTGGATTTTTCTGTTTCGGGGCAGTCTGGCCACCAGCCGGTTTATCGCTGCATCTCTAGTTGTTTTGCCTGTTTCATACATGAAACTGATGATGTTTCCCCTTTGCTGCCTCCCTCCTTCTTCTCCTTCTTCTTCTTTTTCTTCTTCTTTCTTCTTCTCTTTTCTGCTTTGTGATCTGCACCGCTTCCTTACCCTATCTCAATCCCCACCCCCCAAAATCCCTTGAACCCCTTGCTTGTTTTTATTTGCGCCTGCCTTCCCAGGTGTAAACAGGTGCACGCCCCCCTCATACCCGCCCCCGCAGGACCCCCTCAGCGCGGGGCAGTATGAGGTAACGGAGGACATGGCACAAGGAGAGGTTTTTGAATTCAGTCAATCCAAGAGAGGCCAGGGGCCTTTCTGGCAGAATTTTAGTAGATTAGCTCCATTTAAGAAATAGAGAAACACAGACTCTTCTGAAGGACCAGCTATTTTTCTTAGAAGCACTAAACACTGGATGATTACGTCCCATGATGAAGAAAACACAACCACCACAAACACACAGGAGACTCTGAAGTTAAGGACCAATGTTACTATATGATTTGATCGGAAACACCAAGAGGACTTTGAGACTTGAATTTCAAAATTGAGGATAAAAAAAAAAAAGACACACCTTTACAACAATTCTTCTTTGTTAGTAACGTCATCACGCTTCTTCTCCAGCTGACTCTGCTGTCACAGACTTTATCCCTCCGATTCTGCACATTCACACCTTCTGAATGTTCTGGAGTTATTAAGATTGTTAAATGATTTTGCTTTGAGCCCATCGTCGTTGTCATCATCATCATCGTCATCTTCTGGAAATAGCAAGCCTTCGAGGTTAAGCTGGGTCGGTCCTCGTGGGAGCGAGACCGCGCCGCGATCCCTCTGAATGTGAGCTCGACGGATGACACGGGAACCCGATGCGCTCAGGACCCGCCCAGCTCGACAATCCCAGACGGATCAGGCCGTCGCCGCTCCACTGAAACCATCCATCCACACTTACTTATGAAAGCCCCTCTCCGTTTTATTTATTTTTATTTTTTTTTTTTAATGTCTGCCTCCAAGTCTTCCCTTCCTGCTCCTCTTGTCCTCTCTATCTCCCGGTCCACCTGCTCAGCTTCTTCCTCGCAGAGGAAGAGTTTCATTCTTTTGGAAACCTGCCACCGGCCATGATATGACAGGTCAGGGAACAAATCAATAGTCGGAACATCAATAGAATATTTACATCCCCTCGCCAGTTGCTCGTGACAGGGTATTCACATCGGCTCACAGCGATGCTCAGCGCGTCCCGCTCAGATGAGCCGTCTGCGAGCAGGAGATAGGCAGGGTACGGTCGGCCTGCCTCGCGTCACAGTCCCCCCACGCCGCCACTCTCCCCAGAGACCACCCCTGTAGCACTGTGCTGGCAGCTTACTGGGTGTTTGGAAAAGAGTACAGCCTACCTCCAGAAATGAGCAGTAAAAGTCAAGTTGATGCATCGGCCAAGGTCCAAAAAGAAAAAAAACAAAGCAAAAAAAAACAAAAAAAAAACCAACAAAAAAACGGACTTCTTGAGTTGATTTTGTAGTGTTCACACTGTTAAATATATCCAGTCTGAGTTCTTCTGCTCTTATTTCAGTACAAGGGATACAAATATGCAATGCTACAGAGAGGAGAAATTAGCCAGGATCCCAACCGGTTCACTGGTTAAGGACATTCGGAGTCTGTTCGGATTTTTAAAACAAGCCAATACCACGATGGGAGGGGGAACGAAAAGGTGTATTTAATCTGTAGCATGCACCTTCCCTCCCGACAGATTCATTAATCTCTTAACACTTTGAATCTCCCCCCCCTCCCTTTTCCTTCACGTCGCTTTCCAGATCTGATCCGTGTTTCTGGCAGTTAGCTCCGGCAACCGTTAAGTGATTTACAAAGGACCGAGCCCCCGATCAGATTGATTTGTTTAATCAACAAAGTCCCTGCAGCTGCTTTGGGAGAGAGATCCTTGCCGCGCGCCGCGTCCTCCTGGCGAGGCGTTCAGATAAGGGAGGATACCTGAGGAGGGGAAAAGAAAAAAACAAAACAAAAGAAGAACGATTGACGCTCATCACGAAGGCGTAATTCTACTCTAGGAATGTAAGTGAACCATCTGTCCATGCCGTGTGATCATGTTTTGACCTCAGAAGTACATTTTGTGTTGGATTCTACCACCCGATGGACAGTGCATATACAGTATGACAATTGTGCAATGTGATATATCATTATATATCTTCACTAATCACTTACGGTTTTCTATGGAAGAGATAAATATCGTCCTGTGTCATTTTGTTTGCCTTCTTACGGGCCTTATAACCTATGGGAAAACGAGACCTTGGGCTTGCTTTGTATGCCGTGCAGTTTCTGTTTCAGTAAAGGAAGTTGAGAAACGGGTGAGTCGGCTGCTGGTGTCTGTAGAGATGGCTCCCGGTGAGATTGTCTTGGAAGATTAACTCTCATGCCTGGCACAGCAAAAAGAAATGGTTCCCAGGCCATGATAACCTCAGGTCCCGTGCTACACCTATCCACCACCACCACCCTCCTCGCCCCTTACTCACCGCCCCGTCAGATCAACACCACACACACACACGCACACGCACACCTACATACACAAATGCACAATCACTTGCTGGCCCGTTCTGCTGCGGAGAAGAGAGATGCTATCTAACAGTGCCTTCCAGCATTCCACTAGTGATTATCTATTCAGTTTTCACTGGCAGATTTGAATTAGTCATGTATTTTCCCTTCGGTGCATTTCTTCCTTTCTCTCTTCTTCTCGTCCACACACTGGGAATTCCTCATCCCCCCCCTCCACCCCACCGAACCCCCCGACTCCCGCCCCCACTCCAACTCCCAGTGCACCAAAACTCCCAACAAATCCGACAATTGGTCAGGCCTTTCTCCTCCCTCCCTCCCTCCCCACCTCCTCCACCCGCTCCAGTAGTTACAGTCTTGTCTGACTGAAACACTTTGAAACACTTTATTATTGTTATTATTTTGTATTACACTCGCATAGCTGCAATCAACTTGCACAGAGAGGAAGTTTTGTTCTAATTCCAGCTACGTAGAGTTCCATTTTGTTATCTATATATCGCGCAGAAAGAGGATTTGATTTGAATTTAGAGTAGGAAACCGATTCACGTTACTCGTTAGACTTCACATTTCAGAGTATATTATTAATAGTGAGTTATGAACCGAAAGAAGTCATCTATTTTAACTTTATCTGCTACACTCTGTAAATAGTGTAAAAAGAACAGATCATATATTTGGATATTTTGCGTTGGAGACGAATGTTGTTCCAGTTCTAGCGTGCGGTAGACCTCAGTACCCAGGTAAATGCATGCTTGTGGCATCCAATATTTTGCATGAGACTTAAGCCAACTCTTAACGGATTATTTACGTTCATCGAACTTCCGAACGCTTTTCTTTTCTCTTCTATTTGTTTTTTTTTCTTTCTTTCTTTCCCCTCCCCTCATAGCGGAACCATTCATTCGTGAAGCCATGCCATCTCACTAAAGGGAGTTGTTGTCTCTGTCCACCTGTATCCTGCTCACTTCACGCTCCAAAGTTGTAGCCTGTGTTTTGTTTGGTTTGGGGTTTTTGTTTTTATTTATTGCCACTTAGAGGAGCATGTCAGTCTCTCATGCTGAATCAAACGTCTGTTAGGTGAAACGACAGACACCGATGGTCTCCGTGCCCAGATAAAAATGGGTATTTTAATCCGTAGCTTTTCGTTTAGCACGCTTTTCCTTCACACTGCAGACTGCTGGTTATTTTTATTTGACTTTATCGTGTTTCGTTTGGAGTGCCATCATCAAGCGGAGGCAAAACGGGTATAATTTTTCTATGACAACAGTGAACCAAATAGGAGTTAGCTCTGATCGCGGCTGTTCGTGTATAGATTTGTAGTCGAGCAGAAGACATGAAAACACGTGGAGTCCCCCCCCCCCCCCCCCCCCTCTCCTTTCACAACAACAAACCGTACACCCCACGCCAATCC